TGAATGAAAAGCAAAGCTATATCAGGATGCAAGAAAACTAGCACATCTCTAATCCCAATGCAGAGTTCCTCAGTTTAGCATTCCTAAGAACCTTCCTCTGGTTCCATTTTGGAGGTGGCTGCTGCTCAGAGTTTTGAGAGGTGGTTTTCTGTATATCCGCAGCCTTCAGGTACTATGAAAGATCCTACTTCATGGATCTCTTTTTTATATTCCTTTACCTTTCTTCTGACAACCTGTGCCATGGGACTGTTTTGTCATCAGACAGCCCATTAAATTCATGAACCAAGAACAGCTAGATTAAAGAAAGGATTCAGGCCAGACACTGACCCAAAGAGATGACCAGGAGTCTTTCAGCCTGGCCTGTTATGGTGATTCCAAACACACCTTGAGAAGTTTCAGATGACTGTGAACCATTAATAACTATTCTCTGAGAACTATTATCCAGCCAGTTATATTCCTACTTTATAATAGTTTAGGTATACTACGTCCACCACTTCTCTCTTATCCACAAGACTTGTTATCCTATCAAAGAAAGCTATTGGACTGGTTTGACGTGATTTGTTCTTCACAAATCCATTCTGGTTGTTACCTGTCAACTTCTTATCTCCAGATTTTTGCAAATGGATTCCCTTTTTATTTGCTCCATTATCTTCCCTGGCACAGAAATTAAACTAACTGGTCTGTAGCTTCCTGAGTTGTTCTTATTTACCTTTTTATAGATGGGCACTATATTTGCCCGTTTCCGGTCTTTTAGAAACTCTCCTGACTTCTGTGATTTTTTCAAAGATGATAGCTAATTCTCAGATACCTCCTCTATTAGCTCCTTGAGTATTCTAGGATGCATTTCATCAGGCCCTGGTGACTTGAAGACATCTAACTTTTCTAAATAATTTTTAACATGTTCTTTTTTTACTTCTAAACATTACCTCATTTCCATGAACATTCACTATGTTAAGCATCCCGTTACCATCAAACTGAAACAGTCATTAAGCACCTTTGCTGTTTCCAAGTTCTTCTTCGAGTGGTCCCCGTGGATGTTCCACTCGTGGTGTCGGGCTCATCCCGGCGCCGCGGATCGGAGATTTACAAAGTCATGCTCCAAGTTTCTGTTGTTGTTTCTCCCTCTTCACTGAGCAAGGGGCCTACCTTCTCCTTGGTCATCTTCTTGCTTTTAATATATTTGTAGAACATCTTCTTGTTACCCTTTGTGTCTCTAGCTGGATTTAGCTCGTTTTGTGCCTTTGCCTTTCTAATCTTGACCCTGCATACCTGCGGCGTTTGCTCATATTCATCCTTTGTAATTTACCTAGTTTCCAATTTTTATATGATTCCTTTTTGATTTTTAGATCATATAAGAGCTCCTGATTGATTCAAGGTGGTCTCTTGCCATACTTTCTTTCTTTCCTACGCAGTGGAATATTTTGCTATTGGGACCTTAATAATGTCCTTTTAAAAAACTGCCAACTCCAATCGGTAGTTTTTCCTCTTAGTTTTGCTTCTCATGGGACGTTACCTACCAGCTGAGTTTACTAAAAACTACCTTCCTGAAATCCACTGTCTCTATTTTGCTGTTCTCCCTTCTACCATTCCTTAGAATCATGAACTCTATGATTTCATGATCACTTTCACCAAAGCTGCCTTCCACTTTCAATTCTCAACCAGCTTCCTCCATATTTGTTAAAATCAAATCTAGAACAGCTTCCCCCCAGTAGTTTTTTCAAACTTCTGAAATAAAAAGTTGTCCCCGATCAGGGTTGCCAACCCACAGAAATTTCACTTACAGACAAATTTACGGACAGACAAATTTTTTAACTAACATAATTTTTATACTATATTAAGACGACATAAATGGCCAAAAGTGAAAAGTAATTGTTGTCATTCATACATCACAAGAACAATGTATATAGATTTTGACATTGTAAACTTTAACGGTAAACAATATTAAGTTACATAAATTGCCAATGTGCTGACGCTAATTCGGCGGGATAATGTAAATTATAACATCACATGGATCACGTGATTCATGTCACGTCACCTCAACTATTGATCTAAATAAACAACTAAAATGTTCAATTTCCTCTGCTCCACAGTAAAATGGCTGAAGCAGCACAGAAGAAATAATTGCTGTTTTTTGAAATTTTATAGCACTTTTTTTTTTACGGACTTTATGGACATGTCCAATTTCGGCTAATTTTTTACAGACTGTCCATAAATTTACTGATGGTTGGCAACCCTGTCTCCAATGAAGTCCAAGAACTCATTGGATAGTCTGGGCCCTGCTCAGTTAGTTTCCCAATAGATGTCTGGATAGTTGAAGTCCCCTATCACCACCAAATCTTGCGCTTTGGATGATTTTGTTAGTTGTTTAAAAAAGCTTCATCCACCTTGTCTACCTCGGTAGGTGGCCTGTAGTAGACCCCAACATGATATCACCCTTGCTTTTTTACCCCCTTTTAACCTAACCCAGAGACTCTCAACATATCTGGTTCCTACATACATCTCCACCTCAGTCCAAGTGTATACATTTTTAATATACAAGGCAACACCTCCTCCCTTTTTTTCCTGCCTATCCTTCCTGAGTAAGCTGTACCCTTCTATACCAGTATTCCAATCGTGTGTATTATCCCACCAAGACTCTGTGATACCAACAATGTCATAGTTGTATTTATTTATTAGCACTTCCACTTCTTCCTGCTTATTACCCATACTTCTTGCATTTGTATATAGGCATCTAAGATACTGATTTGACCTTGGCTCCCAGTTCTGCCTTGTCCCTCCTTTTTCTCTGCTATTATAGCCCACCTTCCCTCCCATTTCCAACCCATCTCCTAGGTCTCCACGTTCTTCACTTACCTGTGGCTTTTGGTCACCTGCCCCCATTAAACTAGTTTAAAGCCTCCTCACTAAGTTAGCCAATCTGCATCCAAATACGGTCTTCCCCTTCCTCAAAAGGTGAACTCCATCTCTACTTACACACAGGAAGGCAGGGCCTCTCCCTCCACTGCCTTCTTGGATTCCTAACTGCTCTGCACAGCTCACTGGCATTACTTTGAGGTGAGCAATCTGTGTTACAAAAGTACTTGAGAACAGAAAACAGGGTGAAGAGAGTCACGTCAGACTCACACTACCTCCCGCACATGTGTACATCGGCAGGAGAGGGGCTGTAGCAGCAATACTAGGAAGTCTCCGTTAGGCAGATTTACTACCCATTTTCCACTTGCTATTCAGAGCCTGACACAAACTGGCGCAGGCTCCTGAACACCATGTCACAGGCATTCTCGGCCAGACATGAGGAGAGGGGAATCAGAAGTGGCATCTGAAGTAATTTACAAAGGATGCCGCATAGCTCTTTGAAAAGGGAAGCAGCCCTGCACTTCCTGAGTGCACCTGCTTTACCCTAATTGCCGACAGATGGCTGTAAAGACATCAAAGCCAACGGCACTGCCACTGCAACTGGCTCATCCCCCTCAGCTGTCACTGAAGCACCCTCAGGAACTCCAGCCAGAAAGGGACTCATATGCTCAGCTCTTTGGCAACTGCAGACCTTTGTCTGCAAGTGTCCTCTAAGCTTTTCTATCTGATTCGCCAGCTGGGAAGTGCCACAAGTCTAAGGGACTAAACAATACCAAAGAAAAGTTATCATGCCGCTGATCCTGACCCAGAGCACCAATTCTGCTGCCATCAGTGACCAGTGGGACAGCACATGCAATGAAGGGCTAAGCCCGTTCCAGTCATCTGGGGAGGAGAAATTGTTTACAAGGACAGTGTGTGCTCGTGGACCCTGAAGACATAGGGTACTGCACATGTAACTCCTCCTCAGACTTAACTTCAGCTCTCTCATTGGATACCCAAGATAGGGCAGCAACTGGTAGGCTTTCCTATGCCACAGGAGGCCCTGGCTGACATACTTCCTTGGCCTCGTTAGGCACATGAGGGCCTACATCAGGGCTGGGGAACCTCAGGCCCAGGGGAGTCCGGGCTTACTCCAGGAATGGAGCACACAAAATCTGCTAGCCTGGCCCCCATTAGGCTCTGGGGTGTGAGGGGAATGTGAGGAGTGTCGGTCTTCTTAGGGACCACATCAGTGAGGGTTCCCCAGCCCTGTGCTATATTAACCCAGCAACTCAGAGGTAATAACAGAACTGCCTGACACCGCACTCTCACCATGTCCCTTCCATAATGAAATTCCCCACCTCCCAAAGCCCAGCAGGGCTCACACCCTTGGCAGGGGAGAGCAGGCTGGAAGGCAGTCATGACTCTGGTGACACAAAGGGGTGGGAATATAACCCTACTTCTGCCTCTGACGAGTCCTCAGTGAGGGAAGAGCTGGCATAGCTGGCTCCTACACTTCCCTCCCACTGCTCCTACTGTAGAAGAGAGGGCATCGCCGGAGTAGGCTGCCAATGGTTATACTCAGCTGCCTTGGAGCTGCTGTAAAATGCAACATGGCTGAGCAGCCAATCAAGTAGCCATAACAGGTTCCCTGGCAGTATGGGACCATCGCTGTGCTGTCCCAAGCAGGAAGCTGATGCAGCAGAGAGTCCAGGCCAATAACTGGAGCATGCCCATGGCTTCCCAGACTCCTGTCCCCCACACCAGAGATTCACTAGCTCTGCTCAGTGATTTTCTTCTGAGCTCAAGACTCAGCAAGCTATTTGTTAACAGTGCACTGCTTGGGTTACAGAGGCAAGAGGCTGGCAAACATGGGCCACTTATAACTAGGAGAAGTTCTAGTCCACTAGAGTTAGATGAGAAGGGAGAGATCCTACAAATAATGTTCCAGAATAGGGCTTGGAAACATGCACCATGCAGTTCAGGAGAAACAGAAAAGGACAGAGTAGATGGACTTACCAACATACCTGGTCTGACTTTAATCTCACACTGGTTTTACTCTGGTTTGACTTCATTAACATCAACTGAATTATTCCCAATGTACTCCAGTGTAAAGGAGATCAGACCTAAACTCCCAGGGGCTTATGGAAATCGTGTCATACACTTACCTTCATTCTCATATCTCTGGCATATTTCTCCAACTCCTTCCTTATGTCTGTCCTCATCATCTTGGCTACATTGAGGACCAGCTGCTTCCACTCAATGGGCTGAAAGCTGTGTGGCTCATGCGGGACGTATAATCCAATTTTTACTTTTTTGACTGAATGTAAATACTTTTTATAGGAATCCTCAAATTCAAAGACCAGATCAGTCAGAGTTCGATACATCAGAGGTTTGTCCATCAGATCAGATCGTCTGCTCATGCCCAGTGAGCCATACCGACCATTGCAGTAAAGCCCAAGCACCACATGATGAAAATAATTTCCTGAGAAGTGGGTTTTAAAGCTGATTGGGAATCGTTCCACAGAAGGCTGCCCATTGGTCAGGTATCTGATACAGACTGTGTCAAGGCAGTTTGGGGTAAAGCTTGCAAAACAAATCTTGTTTTAATTCTAAGGCCAGTCCCCTTAGCCTGTCTACCCTAGGGGCTGAGATTCCATTACAGTACCTCTGCAAGGGAGGTGCTAGAATACCCATTGCACTGACTGGTGGTGAGACATAGAAAGCACCAGGCCATGCATCAAGTCAGTAGCAGAGGCAGGAAGGGCCTGACTCCTAGGGCCCTGACCGTGCCTGAATGAAAAGCAAAGCTATATCAGGATGCAAGAAAACTAGCACATCTCTAATCCCAATGCAGAGTTCCTCAGTTTAGCATTCCTAAGAACCTTCCTCTGGTTCCATTTTGGAGGTGGCTGCTGCTCAGAGTTTTGAGAGGTGGTTTTCTGTATATCCGCAGCCTTCAGGTACTATGAAAGATCCTACTTCATGGATCTCTTTTTTATATTCCTTTACCTTTCTTCTGACAACCTGTGCCATGGGACTGTTTTGTCATCAGACAGCCCATTAAATTCATGAACCAAGAACAGCTAGATTAAAGAAAGGATTCAGGCCAGACACTGACCCAAAGAGATGACCAGGAGTCTTTCAGCCTGGCCTGTTATGGTGATTCCAAACACACCTTGAGAAGTTTCAGAGGAGAGCTGAGTTAGTCTGTAACTGGAAAACTTAAAAAACAACCAATAGTCTAGTGGCACCTTTACAGACTAACAAATCATGTAGATGGCATGGGATCATGAGCTTTGTTGGGCCCAGCCCATGAGAAGTGAGCTGCCTTATAGCAGCATAACACAATACTCCACAGGGGAGCTACCTGTAATTCATTGCTTCAACCCGTGATGCCACTTCTGTGTGATCATCTGTCGAGTGGCTCCCTCCAGATTCAGGACGAGTGCTGTGTAGCCATTCTCTGCCAGCAAGGAGACTGGGTCAGGAAACAGACAGAACCCTGACAACCTTGGGCAGGCAAGTCTCCCTCTGCGCATTAGGACAGATGGGTTCTGCCTTTGGAAAACCTGGTTTCTTCATTTATTAATCACAACAAACCAAATCAGGCAAGTCCCTCTGGGCAGCAGCCTCTTTTTTTTCAGGCTGAGAGAGGCCATTACAAATTCTGGAGGTGACATTTGGCTGCTTTCTTTTCCCTTTCTCACCACATCAACAACTGACACTAAATACCTACCCTACTGCACGTGTCTGGAATGCCATGCACGTGACAGCGGCTGTCCCCTTGGCTGTCACGCTGGGGACTGAATCAGGGACCTCAGAGCCGAAAGCATTAGCTGCTATATATCAACACAGCATAACACCCACCCCATGACTGGCTTACAGATGCAAGGGGCACAGACAAGGTCATCAGCAGCACTTTCAAATTCCACTGATCTAAGATCCCTTCCCTCAGGGCCATGGTCATGGCTCACTGAAACAAAGCATGAGCTGCACACACCCATAGCACAGCCCTGCACTCCTCCCTCACACAGCCAGCTGGTTACCCATGATCCTCAGCTGCTCTAGTAGCATAAAGAGTCTGGAGCAGAGGCCAGGATCTGGGTCTTCAGCTGCCGTATGCTGCTCTGCCAGTGGGATTGTTTGGCGAGGAAAAGCCGCTAACCCCTCTCTGTGGTGGAGACTGGGGTCAGGCCAATAGGAATGGTAGTGTTGTGGGGATATCCTCATGCCCCATTGCACTCTGGCTGATGGAACAGGCCTAGAGCAGCGCTCTAAGTTGTACTGGGTGAGGGGGGAGGGGGAAGGGGTAGAGGACTAGGCCAAGCACAGATCAGCCCAGGCTCCAGAAGGTGGTGTAAGACTATCCCTATGCACATGCACCCACCCTGTCCCACCTGTAGCTCAAGATCCAGACCAAAATCTCTCTCTCTGCAGAAAACAAGGATTGACCATTCTTGATCCTGGGATCTTTGGCATTCTCTCCCCCCCCCCCTCAAAAAACACCACTCCACATTCTTTAGCACAAACACAACACAACAGGCATTACATAGTTGAAATGACACAGAACATAAGTCTGAAAATTCTCCCTGCTTCCCTCCCCCCCCACACACACTTTCTGCATGTCAGGAGTGCCTGGCAGCTGTTTAGAAAACACTTTTTACAAAGAAAAGAAAAGAAAAGAAAAGAAAAGAAAAGAAAAGAAAAGAAAAGAAAAGAAAAGAAAAATCAGGGTCCTGATTCTCATCTCACTTGAACATACATTACATCTTTGTGCCAGCAAAATGCCATTGAAATTGATGGAGTTACTCCTGATATACAGTAGCATGAACTCAAATTGAGCCCTAGTTTCTAAAGTTTCTAAAGAAGGAGAATATCCTGTAATCCTTACATATCCTCCAACATTTTTTCTTGAGGTGGTTTCACTGAGCTGGCATGTACCAAATCTCCTTCTTATGTTTCAAGCATCACCACGATCCAACTGAAACAGCTCCCAGTCCCCTGGTGCTTCAGCTCCAGGAGGAGAGAAGGGAGGGCTGAGGTTCAAGGCCTCAGGCCAGATTTATTCTTCTTGGATTCCAGGGTTAGTGGATTTTGTGGGGCCCCCGAAGCTCTGTGGTAGGGCCAGAAATGAGGGGGTCCAGTGTTCGGGACAGGGCTGCCAGAGAGTGGGATAGGGATGGAGGTGCAGGAGGGTGTGAGGTCTGGGTGGGAAGTACGGTCCAGGAGCAAGCTGGGAGTAGGATATCTGGCTAGGAGGAGAGATCAGAAGTGGGGGAGGGGGCAGGAGCAGGCTGGTGGGAGGGTACGGTCCAGGAGCAAGCTGGGAGTAGGATATCTGGCTAGGAGGAGAGATCAGAAGTGGGGGAGGGGGCAGGAGCAGGCTGGTGGGAGGGTGTGGGGCCAAGGGGGAGGGTGCAGGAGCAAGAGAAGATGCAGGAGCAGGTTGAGGGGATGGGCTCTGGGTGGAGGGTGTGTGTGAGAGGGTTGGAGGGTCTCACCAGGGCAGTGATTGAGGGTGCTGGGTTGCGGGGGTCTGGGCAGGGCGGTGAGTGAGGGGGTTGGAGTGCGGGGGTCTTGGCAGGGCGGTGAGTGAGGGGGTTGGAGTGCAGGGGTCTTGGCAGGGTGGTGAGTGAGAGGGTTGGAGTGCAGGGGTCTTGGCAGGGCGGCGAGTGAGGGGGTTGGAGTGCAGGGGTCTTGGCAGGGCGGCGAGTGAGGGGGTTGGAGTGCAGGGGTCTTGGCAGGGCGGCGAGTGAGGGGGTTGGAGTGCAGGGGTCTTGGCAGGGCGGCGAGTGAGGGGGTTGGAGTGCAGGGGTCTTGGCAGGGCGGCGAGTGAGGGGGTTGGAGTGCAGGGGTCTTGGCAGGGCGGCGAGTGAGGGGGTTGGAGTGCAGGGGTCTTGGCAGGGCGGTGAGTGACGGGGTTGAAGTGCGGGGTCTTGGCAGGGTGGTGAGTGAGGGGGTTTGAGTGCGGGGGTCTTGACAGGGTGGTGAGTGAGAGGGTTGGAGTGCAGGGGTCTTGGCAGAGTGGTGAGTGAGGGGGGTTGAGTGCGGGGCTCTTGGCAGGGCAGTGAGTGGGGGGGTGGGGGGGGGGGGGC